GTGACCAAAATGGCTTTAGGACAATGCCACTGGAGTCATTACTCCTGCAGTCTGTATGTGATAGGAATGGATGTCGAGCCATTTTCCATTGTTTCTGCTGCTTGCTTGCTTCAAGAGCAAAATGTGGTTGGGGCCAAGCAGAAGCAGACTCAAAGCGCATCTTGCTGGCTGTTTTTCCTCCAGCTGGTGAGACATGGTTAGAAGTCAAGACGCAGTTTCTTAATACCATATATGGGTAGTCTAGGTTCCACCAAAGTCACTTTGTTGAATGTTTTCAGCTTGTTTCCTCTAGATGGCCCCTCCACCACAGCAGCAGAGATGTGGCTGGAATTTTGGGTTGCTCAGCATGGGCCCTGTGCAGCCCTGTGAACTGGGATGCTTGGTTTCCTTCTGAATTTGCATGCTGTTATTCATTGCTAAAAGAGGATTGGAAATGTTTGTGCAGTAAAGGCAAAGATGTGGCGATGAAGTCAGAGGCATTAGATGCTTGAAATAGACACTGTTCGTTTTTGCATGGGTGTCTGTACATACAGAAAAAATGGAAACAGTCAAATGATGGTCAAAAAGAGACCTTCCTCCTAAATTCAGGTTATTCAGATACGTGGTCTCTTCTGCCTTTTTCTGAAACTTTTGGTATTAGCTAATGCTTGCTGGGACTTGCTAAGCTAGAACAAAACATTGCTAACTCCAGCTAAATGTCTGCAGAGCATTAGGATGTGAGACTTACCTGTGCTCCTTTCTTCTTTCCCTTCAGTCCCCAAGTAGAGTTACCTCCATACCTGGAGAGAATCAAGCAGCAAGCCAACGAGGCCTTTGCTTGCCAGCTGTGGACTCAAGCCATCCAGCTCTACAGCAAAGCAGTCCAGAAAGCCCCCAACAATGCCATGCTGTATGGAAACAGAGCTGCTGCCTACATGAAGCGCAAGTGGTAAGGAAGCAGAGAATATCAGGGTTCAGTGTCACAGGTGCTGCTGGTGCCTGATCTCTGAGTACCACGGGTACCTTGTTGTCCACTGCGGAGCACCTGGCTTCCCATGTGTGGAGCAGGGTTGGGGTTACTGGATCAAGCTCTAAGTGGGTCACCTCTGGCACAGAACAAGAGGATTGCACAGCAGCACGTGTTGGAGAAATTACAGCCATAGATACTGCACAGGCAAGCGCAGCTGGTAGTAGCTCATCATTTTGCTTACTGGCGTGCTGAGTAATGTTCTGTTCCTTTCCTGTTTAAAAAGAAACCAAAAATCCACTTCTGAGTAACAGCATTGTGAGCATCTCCAAGGCTGTTTGTGTTTCTTTGGATAGTTCTGATCTGCATTAGAGTATGGCTCTAAATCTGCTGTCAACAGATGAGGTAATGGTTGCTGTGCTTCACAACGTCATATCTCATGATACAAGGTTGCTGTAGGACTGCCTGGAGTTGCTTTGGTTGCTGCTTTACCCAAGTAACTGGTGCTGCAGATAGCCAGACGTGACCTGGCGGTTACCCCAGCTAACCCACATTCCCCTTGACTGGAAACAAACCCCTCTGAGAGGGATTTGGGGAGGTGACAACTGGTGCCTCAGAGTCTGGGGGAGATTCTGTCTTGATTGTTGCGAAATACACTGTTAGCCTCTGCAGTAGGTAACGTCTTCTCTGACCAATAGCCAGAGCTGCATCTGCAAGATACAGCTGGGTTATTTTAGTATCTGTCCCCTTGAGCAGAGTAAGACTGAGTAGCATGACTCGCCATTAACATATTTAAAATAGCTGTGGTCCTTCATCTACATGTGCTTTGTGAGGATATCGTTCTCCTCTCCCTGCTGAAATCCCCAGTATGAATTCTCCTATCTTCTTGCCAAGATAAAGAGCAGCCAGCAGTTGTTGTGACTGCTGGTAACTGGCCTACTGGCTGTTTTGCAATAGCAGAGATTTGGGAGCTGCCTCAAAAAGACCTCAGTGTTCAGAGGGAGAAGAACAATAGTTTGGGATTAAGGAATGGAAGACAGAAGCCGAGTGCTGATCTCACAAATGACATTTTTCTTATAGGAATTGTTTTTCCTGAAGGATGTTGGCAGATCTGAACCTTTCTGTGTGTCTGCTAGCGCTTTGCTATAGTTTTCTGTAGCAAGAAGACGTAAAAATACGTGCACTATGGTTTTCTGTGGCATGCAATGATTAGAGTTTAAATAGTACTGAGCTGCTATCTTCTCAGGTGCAGAGAAGACCAAGCGCTTTGCTGCTAGGAACTGGTGCATGGCAGAAGGCGCCTGGGGTGTCACTGAGGAGGGTGAAGCAGCTGGACAGTCACCCATGCTGAACCACCGTGTGTCTCTAAGGTGTCCTTCACATTCAGAGCAGAAAGAGCTATCAGCCACCCTGCAGAACCACTGCAGGCCTTGCTTTGGCCTCTTATCTGAATAACAGAGAGATCTGGAAAGAAGGAAGGTCTGCAATTTCCTATCCTCTCCTTGCTCATCTCCCGTAAGATGATACTCATACTCTGCAGCACTTCTGAGGCTGTCCTTTTAAAATTTGCTCATGAGAGCCAACTGCATCACTCTCCAGATTGCTTTTAGCAGTCTATGTTGACAGTACTTAGCTGGTTTCTAGTCAGAGCATTTCTGCACAAGCCGAGTCAAACCTGTAACAATGGCAGAAGTCAGCGCCTGCTTTACATCTCGATGTGTACATTTTCACACCAGTCTGTTGGGCTGTCTGACACTGGTAGCTGAGATTGAAGGATTTTTAAGGGTAGCAGAGCATCTAATAGCCCAGTCAGCTCCGAAAATGCAAGACACCCATCTATCATCATAACAGGTAACTTGCATTCCCTTTTTCTTTGAATAAAAGTGGCCTGATGCTGTACATCCAGCCTCCTGGATGAACACAGACGCAGTGCTGCAAAGACGGCCCTCAAGAACCATGATTCTTGTGCCCTGCTGCAGATCTCATGGTCGAGGCACTCCACCTTCTGTACTGCACCAGCAAGCTGGCCAGTATCCACCTCGATGCAAGGGAGCAGTAGGGTGAATGGTTTGCCAGACGTGCCTGTGGTGCTCAGTAACCCTAAGATTTGCAGCTCCCTTTAATGAGAGGAGCACCTCTTCCCTGACAAAGGCTCTGCATGGTCTGAAATTGTTGCCCTGTGCACCATTCCCTTCCCCTTGTGACTGTTTCAGACTTTGGTAGGTGCAGTGTACATCGGTTACAGGCATGAAACATCATTATTATTATTGTTATTAGCCATCATATGGAGACTTGGCACTCTCTTAGGACAGGTTATGGTACCTCTGAACAGTTTAGGCTCAATGCTGGTACACCAGACATGCCAGCCCTGCCTGACTTCTTGGCCTCTGTCGCTCTGAACCAACATGCGAGGCTCCTCACATCTCTCCTGCTTCCAGAGCACAAACAGAGGTTTTCTTATTGCCACAGCCATGGAGCTTAGGGGAATCAGGCACAGCTCCAGTAACTCTAAATAGGATATAAATATCCATTATGTTACCAGTCTGCTATAACTCTTATGTCTAAAACTTTAAGGTTTTTCCTGTAAAGGCAGGAAAAAACTGCTGCTTTAGATGTGTGTCCATCAGGGCTATGAAGTGTGCTGGTTCTGTGGCTCCTTCTTGAGGGCTACAAGTGGCTGTGGGCAGGGAAATGTGCTGCCACGCTGCGCGTCCACAAAGGGGCACGAGTGAGCTGCCGTGCTCCGAGGAGGCCCTGCTCGCCTTGCAGGAGAGGCCTTGTGTCTGCTTGGCCAGAGGGCTTGTGCATCCTCCATCTTCAAAGGACTTCCCTAAATGTGCTCTATCAGTGAGCTCTGCTCTGTCGGATTTAAAATGGCAGGTCAAGACTTGCTGGGCTTCCCTTGTGCAGTCACGTTACAGGGCTGCCTGTCTACGTGTGGAGGTGCATTCAGGAAGCTGGGCTCGGTCAGATGGTGCCCCCGAGACACAGCAAATGCTATTAGTACGTGAGCTTGTGGGGTGTCTGCTTGCATAGAGCGAGCTGGAAACAACCAGCTTTGGAGAGAAATGAGAGCTGTGGAAAACGTGTGCTCTTTCTGTTTGGCCTATCTAATCCACCCCTCCCTTTTTTTCAGGGATGGGGACCATTATGATGCTTTAAGAGACTGCTTGAAGGCCATATCCTTGAATCCATGCCACCTGAAGGCCCATTTTCGTCTTGCCCGCTGTCTCTTTGAACTCAAGTACGTGGCAGAAGCACTGGAGTGTCTGGATGACTTTAAAGGGAAGTTCCCAGAACAAGCACACAGCAGTGCCTGCGATGCACTAGACAGAGACATCAATGCAGCCCTCTTCTCCAAGAGTGATAATGGTGAGTGCCTGTGTTCAGTGCAGTTCTTCAAGGTTGTACTAAAATCTAACGATCGGACAAGGAATTTTCTCCTTAAACTGCCCCTCTGAAGTAAAGCTCCAACTTCTGAGAGAGATTGGTTGTTGCTGTGCACAAAAACTGGCCTGAGGCCTATTCCTTCCTTGCGCCAGGTCCTGGTTTGCTCTTGAGTATGACAAAAGGAGTCTGATGTACGCAGGAGATAATCTGGAAGGAAGCTTGTCCTTCAAGCCCTGCTCCCAGCTGGAACTGTCCTTAACTCTTCTCTAAAGCTGCTGGGGTGTCATAGAGTGCTTTGTTTGCTGAGAAAATGTTCCTCCCCCAGTTGTGATGAGGGAAATGTGTTGTCTTTCCAGCTGAAGACAAGAAAGGTGGTGGCCCCATCCGGCTGCGAGCCACAGGCCGCAAGGATTCCATCTCAGAGGATGAGATGGTGCTGAGGGAGCGCAGCTACGACTACAAATTCCGATACTGTGGCCACTGTAACACTACTACAGACATCAAAGAGGCCAATTTCTTTGGCAGGTATGTGGCAGAGCGTAATTGGGATGCAGGACAGGAGTGTGAGGAGCAGCAGAGTGCTCTCTTCCATCGGATAAACCCTCCTCCTTGTGTGGCTGCATGAATAGCTGGTTCAGTAGCAGATCCACAGAGGACCAGGTTGGGCTAGCGTTTCAGAAACACCATTTGGGATTGAGAACATGAATCCTGGGGCTGGAGGGACCCAACACAGAAAGCTTTATCTGGATCCGTAAGCGTGAGGGGCGGCAGCCTGCTGATTCTAGAAGCCAACTGAGGTTCTCGTGTCTGCTAGAGACTAGCATTGGCTCTGAGCTGTGATCTCCAGTCTCTGCTCCTCTCACCCTAGCAATGCACAGTACATAGTCAGTGGGTCAGACGACGGCTCCTTCTTCATCTGGGAGAAAGAAACCACCAACCTTGTTAGAGTGCTGCAGGGAGATGAGTCGATTGTGAACTGTCTCCAGCCTCATCCCAGTTACTGCTTCCTGGCTACCAGTGGCATTGACCCAGTTGTACGACTGTGGAACCCTAGGCCAGAGGTAAGAGCAGCAGTAGAAGGTTGTTTTGTTGTCATGAGGTGTAACATACACTGGTCTTTCCTACTGGGATCTCTTGAGAGTCGCAGTTAAAGCCCTTATTTTGTCTTAGTGCTGCCTTGCTGAGTTCTCTCCCTTCTTTTCCTGCAGAGTGAAACCCTTAATGGCCGTGTGGTAGTAGACATGGAAGGCGCTTCCCAAGCGAACCAGAGACGAATGAACGCAGACCCGCTGGAGGTGATGTTGCTGAACATGGGGTACCGGATTACAGGACTGACCAGTGGTGGGGCTGGAGGCTCAGATGATGAAGACAGCTCAGAGGGGCAAGTCCAGTGCCGTCCCAGCTAAAACAGAACTGCCTCTCCTTCCTCTGATTGTTTGGCTGAAAGGGAACCTAGTTTCCTTGGTCCTGAACTTTCTCTGATGAATGACTGCACTGTTTCGCACTATGCACAGAGTAGGACAAGCTGGCAGGGGCAGGAGCGGCCGTCTCTTAAAACCATCGCCACCATCTCCTCCTCCTCCCGTCACGCTACTGAGCAGCATGGCAGTGCAGTCTGGGGTTTGCCTTTAGTGGAACTTAGTCCCAGTGGGGGTCTTTGACTTGTCTGTAAGCAGTGCAAGCTGGTGATTTTCTTTCCAGAGCTGCTGTATGATCTGGTACAGGAGGATGTTGCCTGCATTCGTGCATTTGCAGAGGAGATGGTAAATTCCTGAATAAAATACAAACCTAGGGCAGGGATTATGGGTTGAATTTACTGCAGTGATCTTGGTCTTGAAAGCTTGACTCTGCTTTTGTGCTGCCAGCCTGTCTAGAGGCCCCTGGTTTAGGGTTGTTGGCCATGAAACTCCTATTTTGTCCCATAACATCTTCCTTCTGGCTTCCATCTCTAACGTGTTGTCACCAGGTGTGGCTGTGTTGTATTAAGGACTGGATATTGCCTGTCTTGTCCCTGGGCATCTGTCTTAGTTGCTGAATCAGTGAAGGCACGGAGTATGTGCAGCTCAACAGGGCAAGATGTGCTTGCCCAGCTCTGATACTTTCTTCTGTGGTCTGTGAACCCATGGAGAAAGGTGACAGCAATGGGAGCAGGTTTGATGAGAGGCCTAGGACTTGTGTAGCTAAAGCTACTGAGGAAAGGGGCTGGTAACGGCACTCTTTCAGAGCTTCTCTCTCTGTTGCCCAAAATATGTGTAGCTGTATTCACCTTCTCCTCTCCGCATCACCCTTGCTGGAGCTGGGAACGTTGCCACCATGTGTCTGTTGCAACTGATGTTTCAGGCTTTTAGACAGCAGCGTTTTTGTGCAGTCTTGGCCAAGGTGGGCCTCCTCTGCCTCCCTGTTGGTGTAACATCTGCTGGATTAGTGGTCCTCTCAGGAACCCTCCTTCCTCTTCCCGTTCTCCACACACTGACTCTGGCTGCAAAGCCAGGAGTACACCTAGCAATGCAGCACCGTACTTCCATTCCTCCTCCTCTCATGTAACGTGCAGCTCTCTTTATTTTTTTCCTTCTTGCAGTTGCCAAACACTAAATATCAAATAGGTCTTACACAGCTGTGCTACAACCAGATCCGAAGAGGTTGTTTTTTCTAGGACTATCAACTAAGACCAAAGAGCCCCTGGAGATCTTAACTGCTCTGCGCTGTCTCGTATCTCTTACTGCTGAAGGTCTGAACATGCTAGCCTTGGTCCCAGGGGTGTGAGGTGTGTGTCTGGGAGTGCGTGTGTGCCTGTGTGCGTGTGTGCTGCGTTAGGGCTCTTCTTCCATGTGGTGCAATCCCTGGTCTTCCTGTTCCTGCTGTGGAGAGATGAGAGGCCTCCCTTTCCTCCTCTGGCTGCTTCTGGCTGCCAGGCGTTGATGAGAGAGACTGCGCAGTGCTGGCGGATCAAGGTAACCGGCTTCCTCTCCCTTCCAGAACAGTCTGTGTGAGATGAGTGAGCCTTGTGCAGGAGGGAGAGAGGTCACAGAGGCTCGGAGCTGGCACCGTCTCTCCAAGGACGCTGTTCCCTGCATAGAGAGATCCCCCGTATCCCCTTGCAGCGGAGCTGTCTAGGACCTGATCTGCGGAGAAACAGAGAAATCTGTCCAGCTGTTCTTTCACGTGTGGGTGAAACTGAGCCTTAGCAAACCCCGATTCTGTGCAAGCATACCCTTCACCTCCTCAAAACAGCTGGCTCCCCTGGTGCTCTGCTGAGCTGTGATGACAGGCTCGCCCTCCATCTTCTGCTGAAGCAGAGCTCTCTTGGCACAGACTTTCTCTTGGCTGCTGAGGGCACATTTGCCTGTTTTCCCGCAGTACCAGCACTGTAGATGTGACTGCTTGCTCACTTTACCTGTTTGGTTGTGTACGAGCTCCCCCACCCCAGGTGTACCCGGGCACTCAGTGCTCTTCAAAACCCAGAGGCAACAGAAAATTCTTCTCACTTGGGTGGCTTTTTGACATGGTCTGGCCTTTTCTTTTCTTGCTTAAGGCTTTCCTACTAGACGCATCCTCTTTTTTTTTTCCCCCCCTTCTCCTCCCACTCAAACTTTTTTTCAGCTTTCAGTAGACAATGTCTGCAGACTTTGATTTTTAAACTGAGATGGAAAGCTCTGAAGAGAACAGACCTCTCCCTCCCCATTCACCTTTTGCTGTGGCAGCTATTTTTTGTTGTTGTTGTTTTTACCCTTGTGAGACAGTGCAGCTTTTTTACCTGCCAGTTGCAGTGTGAAAGCTAAAAGATTCCCTGCCTCTGCAGTGGATTGCTGTTTTTAATGGCTGCTTTGGTTAAAAAAAAAAAAAAAAGATGATAAATACTAACGGGAGAGAAGGGGAGAGAAAAATCTTTCTGCCTCCAGCCCCTTTTCCCCTCATCGTGGGCAGATTACCTGCTTTATTGCTTGTTAATGAGGAATTTGTATTTATTGGTGAAGGAAAAAAACATGCTGGGGAAGTAGGGAGAAGATGTTGCTTTATTGACCTCTGCTGTTTACTTCAGCCCCCTCTTTGGGAAAGCTTCTTCCTGCTCCTTCTGGTTAACTCTTTCTAGCCTGGGATATGCAGGGATGCCTCCTTTATTTTTGTATTCTAGCAATGGGCTTTCCGTTAGGAGACTCTAGGATTCTCTTAGTGTTGCGATGACCATTGCTTCTCGCTTTTTCAAGTACTAAAGACGATCATCTCGTAAACTTTGCCCCTGCAGTGGTAGAGGTAACACACAAGCCTTACTGCCCTCAGTAGAAGGAGCAGAAAACTTGTTTCTCTGGTCCCTGGAAGAGAAAGGGTTAAGCAATTAAACAATTCTTTGTTCTAGCTTTTTCTTGGTGTGTTTTGTTTGGGGATTGTCCTGGCTTTGTCCTACCCTTCTCTGTGGAGGTGGACATGGGTGGGTGGAGGGTGGCCTGGTTGGGCTGGATGTTGTCTGGGCAGCAGCGCTGCTTGATGGAGAATGGAGACCCCAGCAAACTTCAGTGGGAAGGGGGCTGAGGAGCCCCAAATGTGGCTCATAAGCTGTGGTGGCTGCTGAGTTAGCGCTGATGTTGGTTTGTCCAGGTGTGGGAGCTCAGAGCTGTCGGTGCAGCCAGGGCTGGGGCTGTGTTTGGGAGCAGAGTCCACCTCTGGTTTAGAGCTAAAGCTGCAGACGCAGGGGTGAGGATGGGAACGGCTGCCTGGGGCTTGCTGGGGAAGAGAGAGGCGATGCTCACGTCTTATGGGAAGATGAACGGTGCTGTAATGGAGCCAGTTCCTCTGATTCGTGTTTTGTCAGGGTGCGGGATAAAGTTGGTAAAATCCTCTGTGAGTCCCTGCTGAATCCCATGGTTAGAGGTGAGCGGGGGCACAAAAAGCTGAGCAGGGAAAATGAGCCCATCCTTGCTTTGTAGCTCTTAAATAGCAGAGCCCTGGTGGCTCAGGCTGTGGGGCAGACCTGTGGTCACCTACCTGAGTTACCCCATCACTGACTGATCTTCTGAGGTGTTTCTGCTGTCAGAAACAACTCACTTACTGCCTTAAAGTGTCTCGCACTCCGCGTGGTGTGTAGGACACCAGCGTTTAGACCCAGAGATGATCCCTCGCTAAAGGATATCACAAACTCACTTTCTCCTCTGGGCTCCTGCTGCAAAACCTCCCAAATACTTTCCTGCCCTCCAAGCTGCAGAATGCCAGGCCTTAAACGAGAGGTAGAAACCCAGTCTGCTATTTTCAGAATCCATTTGAACTCCTCTCATAGAAATTCCCATTGGATACCTTTCAGCTGAGGGCCTTTTGAGGCCTCTTCATTTTGAATCCTGTCTGATATAAATTATTGCTTTAAAAGACAGCTCTGCTCTATCAAAGCAATGTGCATCCACAGCTGGAATTGGCAATCAACTAATTAGGTCAGATCTTGGACTGAGTGGTTGGACAAAGAGGAAGCGTGGAAGGGGAAGCCGAGTGATTGAATCGTGGGTGGAAATGGCTAGAAGGACCCAGAAAATGAGTTTTATTTGTCATTTGGGGAAGGGAATTGGGTTGAGGAGGGAGAAGAGCGAGATGCTCTGGGCTGTGGGGAGAGGAACGATCCCAGCCCTGCTGATGAGTTCACTTGTCTGTTCCTGGCACTGCAAACAGCGACAGCAGAGCCTGCACAGGGCTCAAGATGGCTCCTGCCTCTGAGCGAAATGGGAGCAGGATGTCAGAAAACTGCCTGCTGCTCTTGCAGTGAGGAATTTGGGTCCTCTGCGTGTTACGCTCCTCGTAGCTCGTTCAGGCCTTGCTGCTGCAGGAGGTGAGGCTGATCGGGAGCCCCTGAGGGGCTGGCAGGGAGAGAAGGTGGTGGGCCTTTTTGTGGATTTTATAGCTGAGAAATCGTCGTGACCTGCGCTTGGCTCTTCCACCTTGTGCCACAGGTCCCTGAGAAACCGGTGGCTTTCCCTTTAAACAGAAAAGTTGCCCTGTGGATCGACTCTGTCGATTGGAGAGGGAGAGAAGGACACACGGCTTTCAAGTGACAGGGAAGCAGAAAAGACCCGAAGGTTAAAGCTGAGGGGGGCGAGATGGCTTAGGGGCACTGCTTTTGGGGTGGGTGGCTGAGCCTGCGGATGTTCTTGCGCTCGTGAGTAGCACCATCATCAATACAGACGAGAGTGACGTTTCTGGTTCACGCTGAGCGATTAGAGGCTGTCAGATTGCAGCAGGCACGGACCAGAGGAGAGGCACAACAAAAAACGCGAAGGAACCCAGCCCAGCATCACCTCCAGGGCGGGGGAAGGACGCTTTGGTGTCCTCCATCAGCCTGTGCCTCGGTGACATTTTAAATAGACTCCTGCACGCGGTGTTGCCTGCTGCTGCCTTGGTTGTCAATGTCAGAAGGGGGAGGGGATCTCTTCCTTGAGTGGTTTGGTTCTGGCAGTCCCTGTAATGTTTGAGCTGTCACAACAGGGAAGGTTCCCAAGGAAGCCGCTTACTGAACAGGAGCTGGCTGGGTGCCTGCTTCTTTCAGGCTCAGAGATGAGCCGGGGTAGAAAGGGGAGGTAAACGAATCCTTGCCAGGCCGAGCTCCAGCCATGGTGGCGTGCGCTTGGGCAAACCCAAAGGGGTGCACGGGCTGGGCCGCTCCTTCCCGGAGCCATCAGGCTCCCCTCTTAGAAGGGCTCCACATCTCTGAGGTGTGAGCGACACCCTGGTACCTGCAGCGAGCAGGCAAAGATCGTTGTCCTGAGGACGTTTTGGGATGATGGGAGGTAGAGCTGCCGCTTGCTGACAACAGGAGAGAGGAGCCGAGGTGGCGAGGCGCTGGCAGAACCGGGAGTGAAACCTTTTGTTTCTCGTCAAATGAGAGACTGCAAAAACAATGATGGCAGTATTCCTGCTCTGCACATCGATCCAGTATTGTAGGCAGGCAAGATAGCTGCAATAAAAAGCCCGGCCTTTAATTTTATGCATGGAGAACTTCTTACCTGCTCTCCCCTCCCTGTTTCCCCCTCCCCTCCGTGGTTTCTTTTCCAACTGCAGCTATTTTTCCCTGCTGACTTCAGGTGTTTTGTATTCTGCTTAGATCAATAGCGGTAGAACAGCAGCAGCTTTCCAGTTGTCACTAGGAAGACCCTGCTGTCAGCTACAGCTCACCCGTTCTCTGCCAGTGCGGTCCTGGCGATGGAGAGCCCTTCTGCTTGCCTGACAGACACAAAAGAAAGCTGTGCAGTACAGGAGTGCTGTATTGATTTATTTTTTTTTTTCCACCCTTTTTTTATTTTTCTAAATCCAGCCTGGGGAAAATGGTGTTGTTCCCGTGCTCCAGCAGCTGGCTTTGCCTTCCTGCACTTGGTTTAAGAGGGAATAAACTGGGCTGTCTGAATCCCCACCCACGCAGGAGGGGAGGGTGCGAGGCAGCACCGCAGGGAGACGCGTCCTGCTGAGGCTGCCGCGGCGTCCTTGCTGCGTGGCTTTGCCAAGGGAGCTGGTCCCTGGTGATATGCTGCTTAGCAGCCCCCGAGACACGAGCAGGAAGAGCAAATCCATCGCCTAATCCGACAAATGTGCCAGGACTGCGTTAGCTGATGTGAGCGTTGGCCCCTATTCATAGATCTGATTTTTTTTTTCCTTAAATCTCTGATATTTATGTTAGCCTGGAGCAAATCAACGCAAGTGTTTTTCTCCGTTGAACAAAACGCGTTCCCTGAAACACGTACGTACAACCTTTGTGTGCACCTTCCATCCGAAGTGCCAAAATAGGAAGTGTCCGTTAGAAAGCAACGCAGCAGGCGTGGCTTTGCCCTCAAGGGTGTCCGTATTCCCTTGGCGCGCTCTCTTTTGGACCTGGACTGTTTTGTGAGTGCAAGGAGCACAGGCTCAGGCTCTTGATCAGCTCTGATGCAGCGTTGGGCCATCCTGAGACGATGCCCACGCTCCAGCTCGATGTGAGCGCCTCGGT